TTCGTCCAACAAATTTTTGTAAATCAATTAATTTTGCCTGAATTTCAACTAGACCAAACTCCACCAGACAGCTGAAATCCGGCTGAATGTGGCAAATCCAGGCTCTGCATATTCAACTCCGGCCGCATAAAAAAAAAAAAAAAAAAATTGATAAATTTTCCCGCTTATAATAAATGGGAGGGGGACTGTCTTTACTGTTTAGGAGCATGTAGCTATTCCAGCAGGCAGGGACCATAATACTTATAATAAGGGCAGAGCCTAGTAGAGTGCTCTGGCAGCCAACTGTCACTCCTCTGGCATATTCATCCCCTCCTATAATTAATTAGGGCTGCCACCCGCCAGTTTGGGTGGGAGCTCGGGGAGGTGACAATTGGTCCCCAACACTATTATGAGTATTAGGATTTTTAACTATTTGCCTGCTGGCTGCTACTACTGCCCACCGCTAAATCGTTTTTCAAATAATCAATTCTCTAGCAAAGCGCAAATGAATGATAATTTGTGAACGTGAATCCTTCCGGCTGCATTCTGTTAATGATTGGCCGCCATGCAGTAGTTGATAAATCTCCGATTTTGGTGCTATAAATTGGTTGGGATGCTGATATTGGTGATTTTCCGAAATTATGCCAATGTTACAGAATTGGTTGGACCCACCGAATCCTGACTGCACTTGGCTTTAGTAAATCTGCGATTTGCAAAATGGTCGGAACTCAGTAGTTTTTCATGGATTTTGTCAATTCGGACAAAATAAAGTGTTAAGTGAATTAGCGGCACAGGTTCTTTATTCCAAATAACAGAGACACTTTTTCTCTCTCAACAGGTGCATTTACATCAGTCACGCACAAGTCACAAGCTCTCACCTCTCAGGGTCCCAGTGGGCTTCAAGCAAGAGAAAGACAAGAGACCACCCCCCATCCCCAGAGAGACCCTGGAGCTGTTTGGCGTTCTATGTATCGAGACCAGTCATTACGTCTCTTTTGTTAAATACAGCCCAGAGAAGGGCAGCTGGATGTTTTTTGATAGCATGGCAGACCGATACGGTGAGCTCACAGTTTGGCAGCCATGTTACAGGAAGTTACCAATTCCTGATAATTTAATGCAGGGTATACTAACCAACCATTAATCGCAAATATACCCAAAACGTTACTGAAATGTTTGTTCTAATTTCCTTACTTTTTTTATTTTTTACATTTTGTTTAATCATGAAATCTATCTGGGTATAATTTAGTAATTTCATTTGACCATTATTTTATCTCCTGTATAATAAATGTGAACATTCTGATTCTAGGTTATATTTTAGACCATACTATAAAACAAATATTTCTGTAAAAGGATGGACAAACTACATCACTGTTTTTATTACGACCCTGAACAGCAATCTGCACAAAATTGCTGTTTTAACCTGTGTATAACACCTTTAAATGACATGTACATATATTGGATAAAAACAAAAAATCAGCGTGGATTTGAAGTCACACCAAATATGACCATCGCATTTGAATTGTGCTTATAGTGTTATGCAAACATTTATTTAACAAATACTTTTAGTTGCAAATCTAGTCTTCGGCCATCCTGCTCTGCTGTAAATAAAGGTACTAGAAATATGTCTGTCGTGGATAACCCTCACCCGCTCAGACGCACCACGTGGACACCCAAAATGCCTAGCAATATGTGCAATAAAGTGTCGCTGTGCACTGCGTGTGTGAGTCAGTGAGGGCATTAGGGCTTCTTGGCAAAGCCAGGCGGAACCTTCATTTCCTTCCTTTGTATTATCTTACATTGTAATCGCTGCTTGGTGTCCTGATTAATTGTTTCTCCTTTTTGGCCAACAGGTAGCGTTGATGGCTACAACATTCCAGAAGTCACTCTGTGCCCAGAGGTAGCCACTTACCTGGCAGCACCTGTGAAGGACCTTAGTAGCCAGAACCCCCGGGATATGAAAGGTGTGGCCAAGCGGCTCTTCTGCGATGCCTACATGTACATGTACCAGAGCAAGAGGATGGCGTTGTATAAATAATGTGCTGCCAATTAATCGTAATCTTGGACTAGATAAAGACCAGCAACTGTACGTCGATACTGCACTGCTGTGATATGGCTTATGGGTGGGCGACCAGTCAGGTGTTTGTCCAAAGGGTGATCAAGGCCTGTGCCAGTCCGGTGGCAGCCCAGCCACGTATAGATCTGGTTTTCATGTCATTATACCCGTTACAAACTTTGAGCTCTTCATACGAAATGCCCCTAGCTGGCGATTGTTTCATTTAGAGAGGGCACGGAAAGAGCCATTGGCTGCCCCAGACTTCCTAGTTGGGCAAATAAGAATGTGCTACTTATGTGGCAAAATAAGAATAATTTGGTGCTTTGTATATTTGCTGTTTGTTTTTGCATGTTTAACAGTTTATCTTTTTCAGAATTTTCAGAATAGTCAGAATAGCTATTTATTTAATTTAAAGAAACAGGCACCGCCAATTACTCAGATCCGTTTACTGCCAATGACAATATAAGGGACCCAGGCTGTGAAAATGCTCATATTAATTTACTATGAAGGGCCCTGTCCTGGTTAGTACATAGAAAGTAAGGATTATCTGTGCGACAGTCAGCTGTTATCACCAATGTGATCGCTAGATACCATTTTTATTCTAGTAAGTTTACTGGAAAAGAAAAAAGACCTCAGGGACACTCTCTACAAAATATGTTCAATATTAAATAAAACTGTTTTGTTTTATCCGAGTGGCATCTTCTTTTTACATTCTGTTGCCATTTTCAGTAAGCAGCACATCTAGTAATGCCTTCAGGGTCCTTTTAAATTTCTATTGGCACGCGGTGTGCCATTTGCTGCTAACTGGTGGGGTCTGGTATATTATTAAAGTGGTCTGGATGAACTGTCCCAGGTCCCTTAACCCTGAGCAGATAATTATTGCAGTTTTTCATAAACTGCAATAATTACCTGCTAGGGTTTACTCCACCTCTACCAGACAGCCACTAGAGGGACTCCAGGGTTGTTGGGCAACTTTTTGTTGGCCTAACTGATGCAGGACGTCCTCACGCTATGCCTTGGGACGTCCAGCGTCGCCCAAAACCCCATAGGAAAGCATTGAATAATGCCTTGACGGAGGGGCAAGCCATTGTGCCAGAAAAATGTTTGTCTTTCTGGCACTATAGTTTCCCTTTAATAGAGCCCCCACCTGCCACTAAATGGTAAAGATTTGGGTACATTGGGTCACGTATTATTGTTAGCTGAACTGCCAATGTGTGTGAACTGGGGATATTGGATCCCCTGGTTATATTATAATAGCATGCACCCATTGCCCATCAGTGGGGGCTGGGGGAACATTAGGACAAAGTCTAACATTTAATTTTCAAAATCAGTCGGAAACCTCTGTATTTTGTCATTCAAGGGAAATGACTTGGCTGCTGCAGATGTACAAATGTTGATGGCAGAACTACACTTTTTATCAACGTCCGGCTTCAGTGAGACCTCACTTCGAGTATTGTACGCAGTACTGGAGACCGTATCTTCAGAAGGATATTGATACCTTAGAGAGGGTTCAGAGAAGGGCTACTAAACTGGTTCATGGATTGCGGGATAAAACTTACCAGGAAAGGTTAAAAGGATCTTAACATGTATAGCTTGGAGGAAAGACGAGACAGGGGGGATATGATAGAAACATTTAAATACATAAAGGGAATCAACACAGTAAAGGAGGAGACTATATTTAAAAGAAGAAAAACTACCACAACAAGGGGACATAGTCATAAATTAGAGGGACAAAGGTTTAAAAATAATATCAGGAAGTATTACTTTACTGAGAGGGTAGTGGATGCATGGAATAGCCTTCCAGCTGAAGTGGTAGAGGTTAACACAGTAAAGAAGTTTAAGCATGCGTGGGATAGGCATAAGGCTATCCTAACTATAAGATAAGGCTAGGGACTAATGAAAGTATTTAGAAAATTGGGCAGACTAGACGGGCAGAATGGTTCTTATCTGCCGTCACATTCTATGTTTCACTATAAGACAAAGCAGCTAAACGTAATCTTATGGCATCTTTGGATTGTGTTAAAATTTCAATGAAATTCCAATGCAGTCTTGATCAATATTTCAGAAATAAAATATCTTTATGAAATATTAAAAAGTGACAGATCTGCTTTAACTACTTCCTGTAGAATAATCAGGGAACTCATTGGAGACAATTAACCAAAACCACAATATCTATTAGACTGTGAACATTGCAATGCAACTACTGTAGAATACTGTGGGAGTACAGCCGCTCACACTATTCTTATATTAGTATTAATACTCAGCGTTGCATTCAATGACCAGTGACGGGTATGGGCTTACGTCTAGAATTGATAGAGGGTGTACTTTCTTCTTAGAACACAGAGTGGATGGAGGCAGCTATAACAATAATTACAGGAGGGTGGAATAAACACATAATAACCATTTATACAAACTGACATACAGTCATGGGAAAAAAGTACACCCTCTATGAATTCTATATCAGGAAATCAGGAAAATAACAATCATCTGTTCCTTAATAGGTCTTAAAATTAGTTAAATGCAACAACACATATTACATTGTGTCGTGAATTAATTGGCTAAAATAAATCCAAAATGGAGAATCCATGTGTGAAAAACAAAGTTGTTCTTCTGAGGTTGTATTTACCTAAATGTAAGACCTGCTAAGGAACACATTATGTCCTGATATGTAAAACTGTAGAATTCAAAGAGGGCGTACTTTCTTTTTCCATTATTGTATATGCTGGTCTTAAAGGGACACTGCGGGCACCAATACTACTTTAATGCATTCAATAGGTTTTGGCCTCATTAATATGCTGTATTTTTTGAGTATGGAAAAAAAAATATATAGAATATTAATGAGTCCAAAATGTATCAAGTGCATTAAAGTGTTGGTGCTCGAAGTGTCCCTTTAAAGCAATCATCCTTAATGTACCCTGTCCTCTTGCTAACTGAGCGCAATAACACTCAGACACAGACAGCAGATTGGGTTTGTTTGTTTTTATTTAACACCAATTTTGCAACAATCTTTTCAGTTTTACATCCAATTATATTTTTGTTAAAACAAAACTTTACTTCTGTCTTTAAATACATTATTTTGCACCAAGAAATAGTACATTAAAACTCTGCTAAATGCTTCTTTTCCTTTCATAGCATCTAGCACTCCTGCGCTGCAAATCCAGAGGGCAATAAGGCACTCCAGTGTCGGCATTAATGGCTGTGGCATCCTTCAACTCTTTAATCAGTAAGGCACTCCGGGGGTTAAAAAAAGTCTCTGGCAGGGCAGTCACTTCCCAGGGACATTTCACCATTATTGCACAATCTGACAGTCCACGCTTAATCCAACACACAATCTGACAGTCCATGCACACTATCACAGTCCACGCTTAATCCAACACGCAATCTGACAGTCCATGCACACTATCACAGTCCATGCGTAATCCAACACGCAATCTGACAGTCCATGCACACTATCACAGTCCATGCGTAATCCAACACGCAATCTGACAGTCCATGCACAATATCACAGTCCATGTGTAATCCAACACACAATCTGACAGTCCATGCACACTATCACAGTCCATGTGTAATCCAACACACAATATGACAGTCCATGCACACTATCACAGTCCACGCTTAATCCAACACACAATCTGACAGTCCATGCACACTATCACAGTCCATGTGTAATCCAACACACAATCTGACAGTCCATGCACACTATCACAGTCCATGTGTAATCCAACACACAATCTGACAGTCCATGCACAATATCACAGTCCATGCGTAATCCAACACACAATCTGACAGTCCATGTGTAATCCAACACGCAATCTGACAGTCCATGCGTAATCCAACACACAATCTGACAGTCCATGCACAATATCACAGTCCATGTGTAATCCAACACACAATCTGACAGTCCATGTGTAATCCAACACGCAATCTGACAGTCCATGTGAATCCAACACACACCTGGATGCAGTCCAGTGCACACTACATCGCCAGTCCATGTAATCCAACACGCAATCTGACAGTCCAAGCACAATATCACAGTCCATGCGTAATCCAACACACACCCTGACAGTCCATGCACAATACTCACAGTTCATGCGTAATCCAACACACAAATCTGACAGTCCATGCACACACATCACAGTCCATGCGTAATCCAACACACAACTGACAGTCCATGCACACATCACAGTCCAGCTTAATCCAACACACAATCCACAGTCCATATCACAGTCCATGTAATCCAACACACAATCTGACAACCATGCACACCATCACAGTCCATGTGTAATCCAACACGCAATCTGACAGTCCATGCACACTATCACAGTCCATGCGTAATCCAACACACAATCTGACAGTCCATGCACACTATCACAGTCCATGCATAATCCAACACACAATCTGACAGTCCATGCACAATATCACAGTCCATGCGTAATCCAACACACAATCTGACAGTCCATGTGTAATCCAACACGCAATCCACATGCACACTATCACAGTCCATGCATAACTAACACACAATCTGACAGTCCATGCACAATATCACAGTCCATGCGTAATCCAACACACAATCTGACAGTCCATGTGTAATCCAACACGCAATCTGACAGTCCATGCGTAATCCAACACACAATCTGACAGTCCATGCACAATATCACAGTCCATGCGTAATCCAACACACAATCTGACAGTCCATGCACACTATCACAGTCCATGTGTAATCCAACACACAATCTGACAGTCCATGCACACTATCACAGTCCATGCGTAATCCAACACACAATCTGACAGTCCATGCACACCAATACAGTCCATGTGTAATCCAACACACAATCTGACAGTCCATGCACACTATCACAGTCCACGCGTAATCCAACACACAATCTGACAGTCCATGCACAATATCACAGTCCACGCTTAATCCAACACACAATCTGACAGTCCATGCACACTATCACAGTCCATGTGTAATCCAACGCGCAATCTGACAGTCCATGTGTAATCCAACACGCAATCTGACAGTCCATGCACACTATCACAGTCCATGCATAATCCAACACACAATCTGACAGTCCATGCACAATATCACAGTCCATGCGTAATCCAACACACAATCTGACAGTCCATGCACACTATCACAGTCCATGCATAATCCAACACACAATCTGACAGTCCATGCACACTATCACAGTCCATGCGTAATCCAACACACAATCTGACAGTCCATGCACACTATCACAGTCCATGTGTAATCCAACACGCAATCTGACAGTCCATGCACACTATCACAGTCCATGTGTAATCCAACACGCAATCTGACAGTCCATGCACACTATCACAGTCCATGCGTAATCCAACACACAATCTGACAGTCCATGCACACTATCACAGTCCATGCGTAATCCAACACGCAATCTGACAGTCCATGCACAATATCACAGTCCATGTGTAATCCAACACACAATCTGACAGTCCATGCACACTATCACAGTCCATGTGTAATCCAACACACAATATGACAGTCCATGCACACTATCACAGTCCACGCTTAATCCAACACACAATCTGACAGTCCATGCACACTATCACAGTCCATGTGTAATCCAACACACAATCTGACAGTCCATGCACACTATCACAGTCCATGTGTAATCCAACACACAATCTGACAGTCCATGCACAATATCACAGTCCATGCGTAATCCAACACACAATCTGACAGTCCATGTGTAATCCAACACGCAATCTGACAGTCCATGCGTAATCCAACACACAATCTGACAGTCCATGCACAATATCACAGTCCATGTGTAATCCAACACACAATCTGACAGTCCATGTGTAATCCAACACGCAATCAATCTGACAGTCCATGCACACTATCACAGTCCATGTGTAATCCAACACGCAATCTGACAGTCCAACACACAATCTGACAGTCCATGCACACTATCACAGTCCATGTGTAATCCAACACACAATCTGACAGTCCATGCACAATATCACAGTCCATGCGTAATCCAACACACAATCTGACAGTCCATGCACACTATCACAGTCCATGTGTAATCCAACACACAATCTGACAGTCCATGCACACTATCACAGTCCATGTGTAATCCAACACACAATCTGACAGTCCATGCACAATATCACAGTCCATGCGTAATCCAACACACAATCTGACAGTCCATGCACACTATCACAGTCCATGCATAATCCAACACACAATCTGACAGTCCATGCACAATATCACAGTCCATGCGTAATCCAACACACAATCTGACAGTCCATGTGTAATCCAACACGCAATCTGACAGTCCATGCGCAATATCACAGTCCATGCGTAATCCAACACACAATCTGACAGTCCATGCACAATATCACAGTCCATGCGTAATCCAACACACAATCTGACAGTCCATGCACACTATCACAGTCCATGCGTAATCCAACACACAATCTGACAGTCCATGCACACTATCACAGTCCATGCGTAATCCAACACACAATCTGACAGTCCATGCACAATATCACAGTCCATGTGTAATCCAACACACAATCTGACAGTCCATGCACACTATCACAGTCCACGCTTAATCCAACACACAATCTGACAGTCCATGCACAATATCACAGTCCACGCTTAATCCAACACACAATCTGACAGTCCATGCACACTATCACAGTCCATGTGTAATCCAACACGCAATCTGACAGTCCATGTGTAATCCAACACGCAATCTGACAGTCCATGCACACTATCACAGTCCATGCATAATCCAACACACAATCTGACAGTCCATGCACAATATCACAGTCCATGCGTAATCCAACACACAATCTGACAGTCCATCCATGCGTATCCACACACTATCACAGTCCATGCCAACACGCAATCTGACAGTCCATGCACACTATCACAGTCCATGCGTAATCCAACACACAATCTGACAGTCCATGCACACTATCACAGTCCATGCGTAATCCAACACGCAATCTGACAGTCCATGCACAATATCACAGTCCATGTGTAATCCAACACACAATCTGACAGTCCATGCACACTATCACAGTCCATGTGTAATCCAACACACAATATGACAGTCCATGCACACTATCACAGTCCACGCTTAATCCAACACACAATCTGACAGTCCATGCACACTATCACAGTCCATGTGTAATCCAACACACAATCTGACAGTCCATGCACACTATCACAGTCCATGTGTAATCCAACACACAATCTGACAGTCCATGCACAATATCACAGTCCATGCGTAATCCAACACACAATCTGACAGTCCATGTGTAATCCAACACGCAATCTGACAGTCCATGCGTAATCCAACACACAATCTGACAGTCCATGCACAATATCACAGTCCATGTGTAATCCAACACACAATCTGACAGTCCATGTGTAATCCAACACGCAATCTGACAGTCCATGCGTAATCCAACACACAATCTGACAGTCCATGCACACTATCACAGTCCATGTGTAATCCAACACGCAATCTGACAGTCCATGCACAATATCACAGTCCATGCGTAATCCAACACACAATCTGACAGTCCATGTGTAATCAACACGCCAATCTGACAGTCCATCGCGCCAATATCACGAGATCCATGCGTGATCAACGCAATCCTGACAGTCCATGCACAATATCACAGTCCATCGTAATCCAACACACAATCTGACGTCCATACACACTATCACAGTCCGTAATGTAATCCCAACACACAATCGACAGTCCATGCACACTATCACCGACCATGCGTAATCAGCACACAATCTGACAGATATATCAATCCAATCTGACAGTCCATGTGTAATCCAACACGCAATCTGACAGTCCATGCACACTATCACAGTCCATGCATAATCCAACACACAATCTGACAGTCCATGCACAATATCACAGTCCATGCGTAATCCAACACACAATCTGACAGTCCATGCACACTATCACAGTCCATGCGTAATCCAACACACAATCTGACAGTCCATGCACAATATCACAGTCCATGCGTAATCCAACACACAATCTGACAGTCCATGCACAATATCACAGTCCATGCGTAATCCAACACACAATCTGACAGTCCATGCACACTATCACAGTCCATGTGTAATCCAACACGCAATCTGACAGTCCATGTGTAATCCAACACGCAATCTGACAGTCCATGCACACTATCACAGTCCATGCATAATCCAACACACAATCTGACAGTCCATGCACACTATCACAGTCCATGCGTAATCCAACACACAATCTGACAGTCCATGCACAATATCACAGTCCATGCGTAATCCAACACACAATCTGACAGTCCATGCACACTATCACAGTCCATGCGTAATCCAACACACAATCTGACAGTCCATGCACACTATCACAGTCCATGTGTAATCCAACACACAATCTGACAGTCCATGCACAATATCACAGTCCATGCATAATCCAACACACAATCTGACAGTCCATGCACACTATCACAGTCCATGCATAATCCAACACACAATCTGACAGTCCATGCACAATATCACAGTCCATGCATAATCCAACACACAATCTGACAGTCCATGCACAATATCACAGTATCACAGTCCATGTGTAATCCAACACGCAATCTGACAGTCCATGCACACTATCACAGTCCATGCATAATCCAACACGCAATCTGACAGTCCATGCACACTATCACAGTCCATGCATAATCCAACACACAATCTGACAGTCCATGCACACTATCACAGTCCATGCGTAATCCAACACACAATCTGACAGTCCATGCACAATATCACAGTCCATGCGTAATCCAACACACAATCTGACAGTCCATGCACACTATCACAGTCCATGCGTAATCCAACACGCAATCTGACAGTCCATGCACACTATCACAGTCCATGCGTAATCCAACACACAATCTGACAGTCCATGCACAATATCACAGTCCATGCGTAATCCAACACACAATCTGACAGTCCATGCACACTATCACAGTCCATGTGTAATCCAACACACAATCTGACAGTCCATGCACACTATCACAGTCCATGCGTAATCCAACACGCAATCTGACAGTCCATGCACACTATCACAGTCCATGTGTAATCCAACACACAATCTGACAGTCCATGCACACTATCACAGTCCATGCGTAATCCAACACGCAATCTGACAGTCCATGCACACTATCACAGTCCATGTGTAATCCAACACACAATCTGACAGTCCATGTGTAATCCAACACACAATCTGACAGTCCATGCACAATATCACAGTCCATGCATAATCCAACACACAATCTGACAGTCCATGCACAATATCACAGTCCATGCGTAATCCAACACACAATCTGACAGTCCATGCACAATATCACAGTCCATGCGTAATCCAACACACAATCTGACAGTCCATGCACACTATCACAGTCCATGCATAATCCAACACACAATCTGACAGTCCATGCACAATATCACAGTCCATGTGTAATCCAACACGCAATCTGACAGTCCATGCACAATATCACAGTCCATGCGTAATCCAACACGCAATCTGACAGTCCATGCACACTATCACAGTCCATGCGTAATCCAACACACAATCTACCTGCCCATGTGCAATCAAACACACAATCTGACAGTTTCCGGCCCCTCTCTCAGGTGGGGCCGATCCTTTTTTTTGGGCATCACCAGTGGCGCAAATCATGTCCCTATTTCATCCTCTCAATGAGGGGAGGAAGTAAAGGCTGGCAATAATATAGAAAGGGCAGTAGATACCTGGTACGGGAGCAGTAACAGTGATATAGAAAGAGTATAAATCTTTGCATTTATATAGCGGTAACGTATTCTGCAGCAATTTACAATTCTAGAAATGGGATATTTGGCAAGTGATTTACATACAGAATATAACAGACAAGAGGTGAAGAAGGCGTGCTCAGACAAGCTTACAATCTATGAGGAAGGTGTGTGTGACGAAAGTGCCTTTGTCACTGGGAGTTGGAGAGGCCTGCTTGCCAGCCTCTTGCCCTGTGACTATGGCCCCTAGGATGTATTGCCCTTTACAAGTCCTATTTGGGCATATTGGATTTTAATATACTGTTGCTTCCCCTTTAAAATATATGGGAACAGCTTTGCACTTTTGAAGTGGCACATCGAATACAGCGAAGTACCAAAGTAGTCAAACGGGCCGCCATTCAACATACAAACACATGGCGGCGGCCATTTTAATCCAGTCGAACGCGTTCAATGGTGTTGTCGAGTTCATGGAACTCAAATCAGACGCGCGACGGCACGAACACCGCTGAACATTACCTTTTCCAGACTTCAACTGGAGTCTATTTGAACTGCATTTAACATTGGAAATAGACCGGCTATGCGGCCAAATTTTCTGGAACTGTTTTGGGTATGAAATCATGCGTGCGGTCAAAAGAGAATTCCACAAAACCTTAACCCCATGGCAATTTTACTACGTTCGTGGGATCTGAGCGCTGTTCAGATATGTTGAGCGCTTAGATCTGAGCTATCTGGGCATAGGTTGAATGTGGGGTTTCAGTTCTATGGAATATGTTACCGTATTTTTCGCTCCATAAGACGCACCTAGTTTTTAGAGGAGGAAAACAAGAAAAAAAATATTCTGAATCAAATGTTGTATTAAACTATTTAATAAACTACCAGTATATCAGAATAATATTTCAAACATGTAAAGTAAACAGCAGCATTAAGTCAACAGTGGTATTAAGAACCTTCATCACTGTCATTAACAAATGAAGAGAAACTTTAAGGTTTGAGTACTCTTCTAGTCTTCTGTGAACCCCAAGAACTCATCATTGCTAGAGTCAGAATTTAGGAAGCTCAGTTGCTCACAATCACTGACATCACTTTCTTCGCTATCTTCATATAAGATATCATCTTCATTTCCATCCAAAGCATTGCTAATGCCACATTTTTTGAATGACTGGACAACGATTTCCTCCTTCACAGAGTGCCACGATGTTTTCACCCATTCACAAACTTGAGTGATAGTGGGCCTCTTCATTCGTCCAGCAGGTGTCAAATCATGATTGCCAGCAGCCATCCATTTGTTCCACTCTTCTCGCATAAAAACCTTAAATGGTTTGTTGATGGAAACGTCGAGAGGTTGCAACTGGCTGGTAAGACCTCCAGGAATTACAGCTAGATGAGTTTTCACTTCTTTAAAGCACTTTTTTGTAGTTTCACTAATATGTGCTCTAAATTGGTCAAGTACTAATAAGGCAGGTTTTTTCAGAAGCCCTCCAGGACGATTGGACCACACTTTTTCTATCCATACTCTCATTCCACTTTCGTCCATCCATCCTTTCTCATGAACATGAACAACAACTCCTCTTGGAATCACTTCTTTTGGAAGAGTTTTCCTTTTGAAAATTAACATGGGTGGCAATTTGGTGCCGTCTGCGCAGCAAGACAAAACAACCGTGTAATGGGTTTTCTCATGTCCGGAGGTTTTCACGGTGATAGTTTTGGCACCTTTCAGATCAACAGTCCTATTAGATGGCACATCAAAAGTTAGCGGGACTTCATCCATATTCCCAATCTGGCCAATTTCATACCCATTTTTCTTCCTAGCATCAATGACAAATTTATGAAAAGAAAGAATCTTAGATTCATATTCTTTTGGCATTTTTTGCGCAATTCTAGTTTTGGTGCGCATAGCAAGGCCACATCGCTTCATAAATCTGTAGCACCACGATGGTGATCCAATAAAATCGTGAATGCCTTTCTCTACAGCAATGCGTTTGGCTTCATATATTATCATTTTTGTAGAGACTGAGAAACCATTATTCCGGTGATTTGTGATCCATTCTTTCATGGCCACGTCTAACTGTGGCCACTTTGCAGCATGTACACGAAGGGTGTGCTTACTTTTATCCACTTTTTGTAGCTGATCCTCCTGTTTCCTCCACTCTCTTATAATTTTTTCAGTTGGAGGTGGCCCAAAATGTCTCTCCGCTGCTCTGTTTCCATGCTCCTTAGCATACTTTACTACCTCTAGTTTAAAAGGAATCTTATATGCTAGTCTTTTTTGCTTGATCATCCTTGTATGTAGAATGGGGGAAAGTTTCTGCAAGTAAATACAGTGATGAAGGAACGGTCAGTAATGTACCGTAAGTGATATCAGTACCAATAACCCATCACATGCTTTGCCTAATGACTTCAGAATTTACCCGGTAACATGGTCTACATATAATGCCCAGCTCATTACCATTTTGTTCAAGAAATATTCAGTTTAATGGGAACGGGAACACATACTGTCGGTCAATTATTGATTACACACATGAAAGATCTATAAAATTCCACAAGGAAAATAAATGTGCAAATTCAACTTGCACTTTTCAGAGAACTGCCCCATTAATCTGATCTCTGACAATTTAAATAAAATTAATATTACCGGTATATTCAATATATATTAATAATGTAATTACATGTTGTAATATGTTGTAATACATTACAAACATATTACAACATGTTGTGGGAATATAATTAGCTGATTAAACATTTTTTTTTGATTCACTAGTAACAGTGCTGTTGAAGTGAGGAAAGCTAGGTGGCGGTAGATCTCTTACCTCAAATCCCGGCGAGACCACTGCTGTTGAAGTGAGGGAAGCTAGGTGGCGGTAGATCCCGGCAAGACCAGTGCTGTTCGAGTGAGGGAAGCTAGGAACATTTGTTACGAGCGAGCGGGGAAGAAGCACGGCGACGGACAGACGCAATACCGGAACCCCAGGAGCCTCCTCTCTGCCGCGCGATCAACTTTTCATCACGGGACTCCGGCATTTTGACTCAAGGTACCACACATTCGCTCCATAAGACGCACATACATTTCCCCTCACTTTTGAGGGGGAAAAAAGTGCGTCTTATGGAGCGAAAAATACGGTATGTATTTTAATGTGTTTTGTTGGAGTTGTAATTTGGAGAAATTTTCTGTACCTGGAGATTATTGAGTTTACTACGGCTACTTAAGCCAATTATCTCCAGGATAGAAGGGAGGGATTTTAATGTGTAAGTGGGAGTGTCAGACATTGTTGTATTGTTTTGATTGGTTTGTGTCCTTTGTATGCCATTATGTCCAGGGGGTGTGCCTCTGGCCTGAGGAATTGTATAAATTGTGAGTGCTTGCTTCCATTAAACAGACATGCTTACCCCTTCATGAAGTCTTGGCTCATGTTTGGGGGATTGGAGAACTACACTCTGGGGATTGCTATCATCACTATACTCCCCAGAGTATAATCATTAGCTCTTGTAAGAGCTGTTCCTGATCTCTGGATTTAGGAGAGGTCTGCCTACTGGAAGCTGGATCCTGGTCTTGGGTCCAGAGTGGGTGGAAGACGGCAAGACCCCAACCAAACTGCGGCAGTTCGTGGAGTCTGCGGTGGTTATGGTGTCTGGTGGAGTGCTTGGAGCCCTCGGAAAGCACTAGGAGCATCTGTCAACGGAAGGTACCCGGTCGGGGTGCCAGGTGTTCCGTTACAGTGTGAAACTACACAAGAGAAATAACAGAGGAAGTAGAAATTGGTGGATAAGATACTTGTGTTGATATAAGCTGGTAAAACTGGTGAGTGGAACAAGCAAACCGTGAGCCGGGCCGGAAGTGAGAGCAATTGTAATGCTCTTTATTAAAGAGCAGTATTTACAGTGACTTCGTGAAGGACTGGGGAGAGTCTGATGGCATGGGTCTAAAGAATTCCAACGGAACGGGGCAGCCACTGAAAAACCCTGCAAATGAGAATGGATAAAGCGGGAACGAGAAGATGTCAGGAGAAGGTCACTTACAGAGCAAAGGGACAAGAAAACGTATATTTGTAAAAATAAGTGTAGTGAGTAGTGGAGTTAGTGAGGGCTTTGTAGGTTAATGTTAGATGTTAGAATTGGATACTGAAGGGTACAGGAACCAATGTAATGATTGTGGAAGGGGTGAGGGGTTGGAGTAGCGGTCATTTAGGAAGAGAGGGACAAGGCAGGTATTTGGATGCCGATGACTAGTAAGTTACAATATTCAAGTCGGGAAATAATGTGAATGAAAAAGTGCATGAGTTGTATCTTCGTTAGAAAAGGCCGAATGTGGGCAATATATTGGAGGTGGCAGTTACAGGATTGGAATAGCCATCCAGTGGAAGAAGCCTAACCCAATGGTAACTGAATGATGTCTATGATGTGTATATGTAGTGCAGGAGATCAGTAAAATCAGTCGTTCACAATGAGTAACACAATTTCAATGGGCTTTTGACAGTCACCTCAGTCTGATTCTCCAATAAAAGCACGGGAGATGCTACATCGAAAGGTTTCAGACAAAATGGCACCCAGAATGTGCACTGCCGTAAGCTGCCGAGGAAACTCTGAGAAGTTTACACCATTATTTCATTCTGGAAGTAACTGCCGCAGCAGAGATACCAGTTTCTAGAACCTGAAATAAACAGAATGTTTTCACAAATACACGACAGTCTCTAACCAACAGATAGATTGGACGTAATGCTAAATTATTCACTGTGTGTTCTTTAGGCGGAATAATGGTAAATGGTGAAACAGGAAAACGCACGTAATTTTGATACTATAACTTGACGCCTGCGTGTCAGACGCAGATTTAATTTAGAAATAATAAAATAATTCATATGGACATGGCACAGACTATCCTCTATCACTGCAGGTAACGTTTATACATTAATATGATAGAAAATAGGGGGTTCATGGCGTTTGGACGTGTTTCCAGCGAGCTCCTCAGGACATGCTGAACAAAACCCATCTAACTGCTGATCCAATAATCTGTTACAAGCGTGCATTTATCCCTCTGCAATATGCCCCAACAGACCGGTCTGGGGATACTTCCAGTGTATACCAGACGCCAAACACTCGTGTGGCCTAGTGGGTGCTGGGGGAGGAGGCGGCCGGTCTTCCGACACCGCGCTGACAGGATACTGAAACTGGTGATGATGCCCCGCTATCTCCTATTGGTCCAGCGGGGGTGTTCCTGGTTCCCACCCTAGCGGTTCCCAAAACCTAGCAGGGATCCATGGGCTTGTTCTACATGCCGACGACACCGCCAGGGATGCATGTAACATGGTGGATGCCACAAGACACCTGGAATCCCATGAAGAGACATCCACTCTTCACCACCGCCTGGAAACACTCTTCGATGCTTTCTGGAAAAACTCTGAGGTTAAGTCGATTTTACCTGCTCCTCTGCCCGGTGAGGCTCACTCCATACTGATCAGATGCACCCAAAGCCATCTGGCTACTACAATCAAGGTCCCAGTGCACTGGAGAAGGTGGAGGCTGCATTGGCGACGCATCATGAAAGCAGCTGTGAACACTGCGGTACGCCGACAAACCTGGCAGCATTGCACCCTTAGCATAAACATGTGAATCATAAGAGGAGAGATAGGGGGGAAGCAACTGCTGAACTGGAACCCGCAGCTGACTCCATCGGCTCTGAGGCTGAAGGTTCATGCCATGTGGGACTATGAATTCCCTATACTGGGGATAGGTATATGTTTGAGCTGCATGTTATACTTCTTTCCACTGTTTAATACATGCTCCCTCTTGTTCTGTAACAGATCTAAGCTGTTTCCTTTTATCTACACTTCATGTTTATAAGCTGAAAACGCATTTGCAAAAGTTCCTATTTACTAAGAATGTCTCCAATATGTCTCAGGGCAGTTTAGGTCAGTACACTATGCTGCCTACTCCTACCATGTCTCCTCTACAAATGTCTGTCACAGCAGATAGCAATCGAACCTAGACGTGTGTAATTAGCATATTAATATAATATTAATTGTGCAGAATTTTTGAAGCCACATACTTGTTGAATACTATGTGTTGTGGTACAAGTCTGTCTGTATTTGCATCTGTGCAAAACAAAAATAAAGAATTTAAAAAAAAATAATTTGAAAATAACTTAAATAACCGTGCAAGGTTGTTCACATCAGAGTGAAATCAAGAATTCAAAGTGAATTTCAAATTTAAACCAATAATAGCCAAACTGAAAACACAGCTGATCTACGGGGGGCTGCATTGGGGAGTCTGTGATTGGACAGCCTCAGAAAGTCTGGGCGGGGTTAGAAGGGGAGGGTGTGCAGACAAGAGATCTGTAGCTTTTGCAATCTTTTATTTGATATACCCCCAATGAAAAATGCATACGTATAAATTAATGCATGTTTTTTTTTAATTGGTATATCTACTAAATAGTGATCTTATTTTTGAGCAGTGAGGAGTTCCTTTAACCCCTTAAGGACACATGACATGTGTGACATGTCATGATTCCCTTTTATTCCAGAAGTTTGGTCCTTAAGGGGTTAATGTCACTCACATGTAAGGAGCGTTGCTAGCTCACAATGCAGACAGAGAGCCAGCACTCCAGCAAAAATCAGTTTTAGAAATGGTGCTTTTCCGTGACCAAATGTGACATGGACTTAATGAGAACCTTCAAGGTGTATGTGTCGCCCCATTATAACACGGAAAATGTACTAAAAATGACAGAAATTAATAAATAATATAACTAAATGCCTCAGATTCCTTTTCTATAGCTAACCCCTGGGTCTGATCTGTTTCACTGCCAGACAGAGGGTGACGGAGATCTCCAATGATCCCACAGCTCTCATAGATTTAAATAGCAGGACTGCACTATGATGTCACACAGACGTATTATCGGTAATTCTATATTTAATTGTAGTAAATGTGCAGTAGAGTCATGATATTCATTATTCATGCATATGGTCATGTTCTTTTTATTTGTTAAAATAGAAGCTGCGGAGAGATCTCATTGACGCGAATGAGCTGTGACTGTCTGTCTGTCCATATTTGCTGAGCTGGGACTGTCTGTCTGTCCATATTTGCTGAGCTGGGACTGTCTATCTGTCACTAGATAAGTGTAAAATAAGGCTCGGAGTTGATGTGTGGGAAGTTGAAATGTCACCACACACATCACCTCTTGATTAGACCAGTTGCTCTTTATGCCTGGAGTGTGCTGGCTGAGAGTCCTGGGAGCTGACTGGCTGCAGCTAGTTCAGCCCAATGCTGTCCTGTTTTGATGAAACTGAAATTAAAGGGACACTATAGTCACCAGAACAACTGCAGCTTATTGTATTTGTTCTGGTGAGTATAATCAGTCTGTTCAGGCTTTTTCTGTAAACACTGTCTTTTCAGAGAAAAAGCAGTGTTTACATTACAGTCTAATGATAACTGCATTGGCCACTCCTCAGAGGGCTACTAGAGGGGCTTCCTAGGCTCTGCCCTTGATCTGCCTCCTTGACATTCTCAGCCAACCCAATGCTTTCCGATGGAAAAGCATTGTGATTGGCTTTGATCACTACTTCTGATGATGTCAGACAAGCAGGCAGACCAGGGGCAGAGCCAGAAGCAACAGACTAGAATAAAGGTAAGATTTTGCTATATTTACAGGGGCAAGGGGGGCAGGGGGTTAGATGGTCATTTAAAAACTTTAGGGACAGGAATAAATGTTTATGCTCCTGACCGTATAGTGTTCCTTTAATTCCTT